ACACACACAAGACAAGGGCCGTGTCTTGCTCAAGTGCACAACAGTAATATGCATTGCCAGTACTAAGGGTAGAACCATCACCTCCATTTTTGATTTAACATTTCTACCAACTGAGCTCCCTTCACACATTAAAATGCACATTATTATTCACTCTTAAAGTCTCTGTACGTGAATGTTACCGTCTTAAAACATGAAAAACAAAACTGGTTCATTTTAAAACGGTTTACAAGGGTCCAAAGTTACTCCTCATTTGTCTCACATGTTCTGTACATTCAAATTATTCACTAGTTTGAATTTATAAACACTTTTCACACCTTCCAGAGACCAGAGCAGAGTTTTGTTGTCACAGTAAAGCTACAACTAGCATACTAACAGTGCACTTCCTTGTTATCAGACAATGAAACTCGTTATAATCAGATGCAGACAGAGCACAGCAGACTTATTTTGACCTCAAGAGCCGCTTATATAATATCTGTGTACTGGGGCAAGACACATTTTAGGCTGATACGTGGGAAAATCACATACAGGCTTTTTCGTCTTTGCCTTTTTGCACATGTGAGGAGTTCCAGATGGATTCCTCTTGCTCCAGCCCTGCTCCACATTCTTCTGATTGGGAATATGAGTGTGGTGTAGATGTTAGCAGGCTGAGTGCACAAACTGGCACTTATTGTTCCACTTAATGAGTTTTTCTGGGACAGTGCTTCTGAGAGAGCACAATTAGGCCTCATTATTCCCCTTTGTTTTTCTTAGAAGTCCAACAGTCGGAGCTTGCACCAGATTCACTTTGGTTCCAATCTATATATGGATTCAGAGCATGTGGTTGTATGTTTTTGTTGTAAAGTTGTGTAAGTCAGATTTATTGCCTTTAAAGCAGACCGTTCCTGCAAAATCTGAACTTTTCAGAGCTTTTAACCATTTTATAATTGTTTCCCCTTAAACTGCACATTTTATTTGGAGTGATTGGTGCATGTTCTTTAATCACTTATTTTCACAATGCAATTTTTACAAATCTTATTATTATTTTTTTTTTAATAATTTATACATGTAGGATTCAGCGGTGTTGCATAGTCATTTTGGTACAATAAAAAAAAAAAAAAAAGTATCTGATGTGCAGTTACATTTTATAACAGTGTTCCTACATCATTATACCCCCTGTCCCCGCCCACAGCTCTGTACTCACAGGGTCCATGATGTTTTCATAAATAACAATAGTCGTTTGTTAAATCAGTAGCTGCACAAACAATATGAAATATACAGTATTTTTCCAACTATAGGCGAGTTTCAGCTGACGTCATTGTTATTAAAAGCCTGCGTTGCATGCTGGGAAATATTTTGGTCGGAGGCAAGAAACAGGATAGCATCAAACACAGTGCGTAACCTCGCGTATTTATCCCTGATAATGGTAAATTCCTGCTGCATTATCAGATGCACAAATAGAAGCACGGAAGAAGGAAAATGTCTATTTTTCATATTCTGAGTTAAAAGAACCGCCAACGGTGAATTAAATGGCTTTCAAACATCCGCAGAGCAAACGTAGAAGATCCTAACAAACCGTGGACTAAAACAAGTTCAACAACACATCGAGACTCTTGGAGGTTTTCATCTTTTCTGCTGTGAATGGCCCAGGAGTTTCCACCAAGTCATTGTGGATGTCGCCAAAGTGAATATTTGTCCAGGTAGTTGGTGATTCTGACCAGAAATTTGGTTTGGTCCACCTTTTGTCGGGGTTGAAAAGGGTGATTTGGCTCCATCGATGTTTATGACCAATTTCTGGTCAAATGGTCTTGGGTCCTCTGCTGTTAGAGTGGAGAAATAACCAGGATCAATACCCTTTACGTGCTTTCTCGCTCCGTCCGTCATGTTGAATTAGTGTTTCTTGCCGCCGACCAAAATAATTCCCAGCATGCAACGCGCACTTTTGTCAACAGTGAAACTCTCCTTTAAGTCACACTTTTTTCATGGTGAGACTTATATATTAAGATGTTCAGACTGACAGCAGCGAGAGGTTCTAGGCTTGTGTGTCAGTTTTCTGCACATGTCTCCTGCAGAATAAGCCGCTGTCCTGCTGCAAGTAGTGAAATATGCAGCAGAAAACGATAATCGAGCAGCAGAAAGAAAGTTTGAAGTGAGTGAGAAACTTGTGAGGGACTGGTGGAAAGCAGGAATGGAGAACACAGCTTCATGGCAACTGGAAGTGTGCACCATGAAACTTTCCTGGAAGTCACTGGATGACAAAGCCTGGACTTCAGGGACGACTGAAGTTGCGCGGAGATGTTCAGAAGTGACACAAGTGATGAAGAATTCAGTGGATTTAGTGATTTGGAGTGAGATTGAGAGTTTAGTGAACTTGTTCTGTTGTGTACTTTATACTATAGTTATCTAAATAATTGTTAATATGTTACATTAAAATATTAACACCTGTTCAGTCAGTTGTTCTTCATTCTATTGTTATTACTAGAACTTGCCTTTCAAGATCAAATGTCAGTTTCTGGTTCCTGATTTTATAAAATAAATTTCCCCCCAAAAGTGTGACTTATAGTCTGGTGCGATTTATATATGTTTTTTTCTTATAGTCCGAAAAGTATGTTACTCATTTTAATCATCAACAGTGTTGGGGAGTAACAGATTACATGTACCAGAGTTAGGTAATCAGAGTACAAATTATGAGTAACTGTATTCAGTTACAGTTATGTTTCAGTGAGTGGTAATTGGATTACAGTTACTTTGTTGAAATAAATGGATTACACGGTGGTATTTTCCTGTTTTCACATTTGGGGCTATATCCCCCCCCTTTTTTTTTCTTTTTTTTTCTTTCTGGTAATTCCACTCATTGCCAGACACTAAACCAGGTCTAAAACCAGATCTCAACTAGGTCTAAACTAGGACTAAACCAGGACTAAAACCAGGTCTAATTTAGGTCCAAATCAGGTCTAAATCAGGACTAAAACCAGGTCTAAACCAGGACTAAACCAGGTCTAAACCAGGTCTAAACCAGGTCTCAAACAGGATTTAACAGGACTAAATCATGCTGTGTGGATGTGTCTCTTCGTCTTCTATCAATAATATTTTTATTTTGGGTAAGTAAAGTCTGGGCTTTTTATTTTCTTTTAGCAGATAAAACATCTTATGTTACGATTTCCTCGTCTTTGCTTCTCTTCAGCAAACCAAGTAATCCAAAGTATTCAGATTACGTTACTCACTTTAAGTAATTTAATGGATTACGTTACAAACTACATTTTGGAATATGTAATCTGTAGGGGATTACATTTTAAAAGTAACCTTCCCAACACTGATCATCAAAATAGTGACTCTTTCAAATGTGCTGCATAAAAAAAGTTTACAGTAAAAAATGCAGTTCTGTCATAAAATTGTTTAGTAAAATATACAAAAAATATATTTAAAAAAATATACTTTTGGTGATATTTATTGTTACAGCCTCCCATCATATTAATACTGTATCACCACATGTAGTATCACGGCGTATCGATATTTTCAATATTTTTGCACTTCTAATTTAAATGAACCTTTTATCAAGCCATTTTATATTAATATCAAATCAAAATATGAAATAATGATCTACATGTGTGAGTTTCATAGTAAATCATCTCGAGAAGAAACCAACCCAAACACATGGAGCACACAAAACCACACATGGTCTGGGAACTGAACCCAGAACCTTCTTGCTTTGAGAGAACAGCACCATTCTGTGTTTAGTTTGTTTCTTCTGGTATGTGTCATTTGCACTTGAGACATGTGAACTGGACTAAGGGCACATTCACTCTTTTCAAGCCCAGTTTAGCCCTGATGTAGACTTGGTTTAGTCCTGTTCTAGTCCTGTTTTAATCCAGGTCTAGTCCTAGTATAGTTCCTGATTTAGTCCCACTTTAATGCCATTTTTGATATGTATTTGTGTGAACATCCCCTAAACATCAAAGGAAGCGTTCACACATATTGAAGATTGATGGCAGTGCTAATGTGCCGCTCTTGTTTTGTGGACTGTACGTTCATAGACCATTTACTGTTAATAGAATCATGTCTCTCACTTTGTTTCAGAACTTTACTTTCCATCGTGAAACTTTCCCCATATTTGGAATATCAAAGGTTTGGGTCCCTCAGTTGCATTTTTTGGTGTTCATTTGCTTGAAAAAGTACCATCATTTATTTATTTATTTATTTATTTTAGCTTTGTACCATGTTATAACATTGTTCCATCATCAAAAACATGTTTGAAGAGGTTTTAGATGCACAAACATGCGCAAAACCCTCCTTACAGAGAGATTCTGTCCAGTGCTCCACCCACAAGTCTACATCACCCTGCTCCACACCACTTTCTCCATAAACTTCACAAAAAGTGTGAAACAAAACTATACACTACAACCTGACAAACCTGGTGTGATGTGCAATAGTTTCATTAGAGGGATGCACGCTGAGAGCAAAAACTGAACAAAACTGGAACTACTTAACCAACTTTAAACACAAGCTGCTTTGGGAAAATATGGCATTTTCAAACTAATGCATAATAGTACTATATATATATATATATATATATATATATATATATATATATATATATATATATATATATATATATATATATAATAGTGATATAAATATGCAACATGTTACATTTCATACCCCACAGAAGTGAAACACTCCTCTTAAGTGTAAAACAAGCCAAAATACTATAATATATTTCAGATTTTCACCATTTCTCTAGCAGCAACTCCAGCCGCCAATGCTAATTGAAAAAAATATGTTTATAACTATCAATATAAATAAACAGTTTAATCTGTACAGTTTCAATAAATGTTTATAAAAGCTTTTCAGATGACTTTCACTGAACACATGTGTAGTTGAGCTGAAGGCATGAGGTGAGTACAGAGTACAGGAGGGTCAGTGACACTCAGGTGAACACTCAGACATGATCTGTGTCTTTCAGTCATGTGACAGTGTAGTTCCTGTCCAAACCCACAGGTGGAGCTGTGTTGTGTTTTTTACAGAAGCTGTCCCCTTGGGTCGGCCTGAGGAAGATAAACGTGTCGTACTGGGCGTGGGAGGACATGTCCCCGTTCACCAATAGCAGCCTGCGCTGGTTACCGGGGGAACCGAGCGACGCCGGGTTCTGTGCGTACATGGAGCGGGCGGAGGGAGCATCGCTGAAGGCTAAACCCTGCACCGCTAACGCTAATGGACTGATCTGTGAGAAAGCTGCAGTGTGTGTGTGTGTGTGTGTGTGTGTGTGTGTGTGTGTGTGTGTGTGTGTACAGCTGTGGGACATACACAAACATTACCATGAGGGACAAAAAAGCTTATCTCTCTTAGCTTGGATAAGCGATAATAAAACTAATGTCATGGTTACTGAGACTTATTTATAGTTTTATTGAGTCACTCTTTTCTCTTGTTCACATTTAAACAATATCCAGTGAAAACGGTTCATTACTGAGCCGAGGATTAGATTGTGTTAGGCTCCGTTCACACTGCAGCCTGAAGTGACCTAAATCCAATTTTTTGGCCCCTATGTTCCTGTATCTGATCCTTTAATGACAGTCTAAACCACACAAATCAGATTTGTTCAAATATGACCCAGGACACTTGGATATGTGCTCCTAAAACCCAAACATATCAGATCTTTTGACATGTGACTTCAGTCTGAACGGTCAGGTCACATTCATCCCACCTACACGTCACAAATGTACACAAATGTTCATCTCGTCATGTGAAAACTGTGTGTGAACTCTGTGTGAGTGAAGCAGTGAAGCACAAATCAATCCCATCATGAAGCTAAACAGAAGCACTGCTCTGTCTGAAGCTCTGCTCCTCAACAGGTGAGCAGATTTGTGCTGTTAAACAAAGTTTTCTCAGATAACATCAGTCACTAGATAGCTAGCATTAGCCAACAGTTTTCACTTTGAAGACTCATAATGATCACAAACTCCATAGACATACATGTAGTAACCCCCAGTGTGATGTCACTGTAAACTATCAGTATTACAGGGTGTGCCAAGACACGACAGATAATCAAACAAAATAAGAGTATCACAATATCACAACAGTGTATTAGTGTAAAATATGGTGGAGCTTTACCTTGAAACCCTTTTATTGGGATCATTATCATGTTTCACAAGACAAGCTCACGCTGGCTGCTCTAAAATGCCACAAAGAATCATGGTCTGTGATGTGATGAAATATCACTAAATACATTTTGTACAGACCCTTTGCTTTGTTTTCACATGGTGTGTCCGTCTGTCTGGTCAGGGCGAGTGGAGAGCCCGGTGCCGCGGCCCTGCAGACTGCCCTGCTCCCTCAGGACGGGCTGTAAGCAGTGCACAGGTCAGCCCATGGAGTGTATGTGGTGTGGAAGCACTCAGCGCTGTGTGGACGCCTCCGCCTACGTCCTGTCCTTCCCCTATGGACAGTGTCTGGAGTGGGAGACGCAGGACTGTGCTGGTAAAGACACGACACTGACACACTGTGCACACACACCAATCACACACCAGCAAGTCATTCATGAAACAAGACATTCTTATAGATATTATATTAGACAGTACAATACTAAGGGATAGACTCAATACTCAAGACTGATTCCAATACCACAGTGACAATTAAAATAAAACACTCTTTCTTTTGACAATAAAATGTCATCTCCAACATTAAATGGAAAGTACTTTCTCTTATATTTCCATGTGGTCTTATATGTGTGTAATTCCTCAGTGGTCCATGTGTGTATACGAGGGATGCATCGACCTCGATACACGGGTCATGATATCGATTCAATTTCGATACATTTTAAGATGCAAAAAAACCCCAAAACAATCTCATGTAATTTTTTTTCTGCTAATGTGTATACTATAATAACTCTGTGACATTAATGAAACACTTTACACACAATTACACACAATATATTACAGAACAACTACTGTCAAGTTGTAATTTATCTGTGAAATGTTTTACTTCATTTGGTTCAATAATTTACAGCTCAGAATTTTTATTCTGTGAAAATAAGAACAAAAGTTTTATAACTATTTTCCTTTCAAACCCAAATAAATGACAACACAGAGGCATGGAGGGACACAAGCATATCGACATGAGTATCGAATGAACACATGTATCGAATCGTGACACCGGTATCGAAAGATTTGATATTATACTGAATATTGTTGCATCCCAGCCTGTGTGCTCTTATACTTATACTCGGATACAGCGTCTTCATTCTATCCAGTGAATGTGACATTTTTAGTATTGATACCTGCTCAAATGAGTATCTAGTTTTGATATTACTTTCAGTATCGATTAGTATCTGATTTACAGTACATTTGACAATCCTAGTACCATTCTTTAGGCTGCAGTACAGAATGAGAGAGACTTTACTGATCTCGAGGGAAATTCAAGTTTTGCTGCAGCAACATTTCCACTGCACGTCTCAGTCCCTTTGTGTGTCAGTCAAAGGTCTGAGGTGAGTTTAACAGGAGGACAGGTCAGGGAGGGTCAGCAGGTCTGTGTCAGGGCAGTTTGAGGAGAGGAAGAGCCAAAAGTGTCCCTCCTCTGTGTCCTGCAGCATCACAGCCGTGTCCAGGTGAACACCACAGTTTCCTCTTTCTTTTACGTCACTCTGGTGCTTATGTCAGGAATGAAATGGTTCATCCTGGTATTTCCTCTTTATGGAGTATTTCTTCTGGAATATCTTCTGCCGCATTTGCTGCCACTTATGGTGTAAAAAACCTGTAGCATCTCAAATGTCCATAGCGAGCTCCTCTTGCACGGTCTCCAGGGATATGGAGAAAAACAAACGGCTCATTTCACACAATCCAACAGACCCTTGTGTTCATTCCCTCAAAGTATTTCCTCTGAAGATCTTCTGCCACATTTGCTGCCACATATGGTGTGAAAAGTCTATAGTATCTCAAATGTCCACAGCGAGCTCCTCGGCGAGCCTCTTGCATGTTCTTGTGGGTCGTCTCTGTCCCCGCAGTCAAAGTCAGTGGAATATGTTTGGGAAGAAGCCAGAGAGGTTTTAAGGAACTCTTCATTCGTTATAGCAGACGTGTGGACACATTCTGGATTTAAATCAAGACTCACTGTTTTTATGACAATTTTCAAAGCAGAGAACATTTTTAAACAGCAGTGACAGCGTCAGCCTTGTTGCAACACTGCACCAACCCACAGAAGAATATTTTCACTGGCACATAACTTAAATCATTAGTTTGTTTTTACTACATTCACATTTTTCTTTTCTTCTATTTATTGATTTTGTATTTTACAATTTGCAGATAAACTTTATTTCTCAGGAAATGCATCACTTGGATCTTTTTTTAATCAACCTGCTGTCTGTAACTTGTATATTCACAGTGCATGGAGCAGACTCGTGGCCCTCCTCCTCACTCTCCCCAGACTTGTGCTAAATCCTGTTTAGTGTGGCGTGTCCTGGCAGCACTAGAGAGGCACAGAGAGGGGCACAGAGAGGGGCACACACACTGGCACTGCCAGCCTGTTCAGAATGACATATTACCACTAACAACCTTTGGCAGAGTGATGTAAGCAGCCGCTCATCCCAGCGCAGGCAGGAGAGCCACGCTGAGTTAGACGATTCACCACGCACCAGCAACCAGTGTCAACAACACGGAGGAGGACCGGCGCAGGTTTAAGAGTTTAGCCCTATATTATACCGGGGACATGGCACACGCTTGGATGGGACACAACATGTGTTTTTTCATGGACCATTTTATAGACTTACATTTTCCCTATAATATTGTAATATACATTTTCCAATCATCATGGGAGTGGTCACCTTCTGCATTTTATTAAACTGTCCATGTTTCATCTGATTAAGACATTTTATTCTTCAGATTCAATTCTTTGGTTTCCCTTTTGGACCTTTACCCACAGTTTGGGAACCACTGCTCTAAACGTTTACTGCCACTTCTTTCACTGCAGATGTGACACCCACTAACTCACCAAGAAGGTGGAGGGGGCTGGAGGTTCCCATACTCTGTAGCATTTTTAGATGCAATAATAATGGGCCTGTTTACAAGAAGTTGATGAGACTTCATCTGACACACGAGACAGACCTATGGCCACGTCCACACAAAACTGCAAACTAATCCTTTAAGTATAATTCATGTATAAAACCAACTGAAACACTGTCTCTGGTTGTCTCTGGTTGCCTCTGGTTGTTTCTGGTTGTTTCTGGTTGTCTGTTGTCTGTTGTTCTGGTTGTCTCTGGTTTGTCTCTGGTTGTTTTCTGGTTGTCTCTTCTGTTCTCTGGTTGTCTCTGGTTGTTTCTGGTTGTTCTGGTTGTTTCTGGTTGTCTGGTTGTTTCTGGTTGTTTCTGGTTGTCTCTGGTTGTCTCTGGTTGTCTCTGGTTGTCTCTGGTTGTTTCTGGTTGTCTCTGGTTGTTTCTGGTTGTTTCTGGTTGTCTCTGGTTGTCTCTGGTTGTCTCTGGTTGTTTCTGGTTGTTTCTGGTTGTCTCTGGTTGTCTGGTTGTCTCTGGTTGTCTCTGGTTGTTTCTGGTTGTCTCTGGTTGTGCCTCTGGTTGTCTCTGGTTGTCTGGTTGTTTCTGGTTGTCTCTGGTTGTCTCTGGTTGTTTCTGGTTGTCTCTGGTTGTTTCTGGTTGTTTCTGGTTGCCTCTGGTTGTCTCTGGTTGTCTCTGGTTGTTTCTGGTTGTCTCTGGTTGTCTGGTTGTTTCTGGTTGTTTCTGGTTGTCTCTGGTTGTCTCTGGTTGTCTCTGGTTGTTTCTGGTTGTTTCTGGTTGTCTCTGGTTGTTTCTGGTTGCCTCTGGTTGTCTCTGGTTGTCTCTGGTTGTCTCTGGTTGTTTCTGGTTGTTTCTGGTTGTCTGGTTGCTCTGGTTGTCTCTGGTTGTTTCTGGTTGTCTCTGGTTGTCTCTGGTTGTCTCTGGTTGTCTCTGGTTGTCTCTGGTTGTTTCTGGTTGTCTGTTGCTCTGTTGTCTGTTGTCTCTGGTTGTCTCTGGTTGTCTCTGGTTGTCTCTGGTTGTCTCTGGTTGTCTCTGGTTGTCTCTGGTTGTCTCTGGGCGCCCTCTGAACAGTGTAAATGCATATTAAAGCACTTTTCATCACGTCAGGTCTGCAGACATCAGCCTGACTCAAACAAAACTCTGCCCTTTACTCATTTACAGACAGGCCCTAGAATGCAAAAAACAAACAAACAAACAAACAAACAAAAACAGATGTTAGGGTCTAGTTATAAAGTGGTTTTCATCATCTGTGAATAAGGAAGTAGACCTAATGCTAGTGTGCTGTTAGCATGCTAGTTGTTTTTAGCATTACCGTGACAGTAAATCCAGGACTCTGATGACTCTGAGGACTGTGAAACTTAAAGCAGACTCTGTGTACTTTACTCATTTTCTGTGTTCATCTCACTTTCATCTTTACTCCCAGTCTCATCCCTGGACTTGTACACAGCTGTTGGGTGAGTTTGTTGACAGTGTGTTACAGATGTACAGTGAAGTAGGTCATGGTGCGTGTGGATCGATGCTGGAGGAGCAGTGTGGACACTGGACATGTGGTGGGGGCTGCTCTCTGTAATGAGCTCCTCTGTGGGCCCTGGACAGAGGCTCCAGCGCAGACTACCAGCAGACAACAGCCACCACACTAATTGTTCTCCGTAGTGTCTTTATCTGAAATGTACTTTTAGACAAACGGACTTCAGCTAGTTTTTCCAAAGTTCTTCGATACAACAAATGAGCTAGGCTGGTGTATTTTTAGACTTGGTGACGCATGATTAAAAGGCCCGTATTAGGCTGTTCTCTGATCTTTGTTCTAATGTTTGTTTCATTCACACATGTTTAACACACAAACCCTCTGCTCCACCTTGTGATGTCATACAAGAAGTGTTCCACTGTGCTTTTAAACTCCTTACACCTTCACTAGAATCATTTGGATTATTTCAGCGCCGGAAATGCCAATCTTTACTGAACTCAAGTTGAAAGTTAGCTGTTAACTTGAAAACTTTATTGCATTTCCTGATAATAATCAAAATAATGAGTGAGCGAATGCCTCTCAAACACCGTGCATTTAACCACCAATGACTCTCTAATATGATACGTAGCCATAACATGAGACACATATTAAACTGTCAGATTGTACAGTGGTGTAACTGAAGAGGCCTATTTAGAAGTCATTTATCTGTGAGTGTGTTACCGTTGACCCTGTGTCTGTTTAAGATTATATTCAAAGTTTGAAGTTCAAAAGTTCAAAAAAGTGTATTGTCAATTCTTCATATGAACCATATAACGAATTGAAATTTCTCTCTTTCAAACATATAAATACATAATAATAAATGTACATGGTGCAAAAGACATATAGTGCAAGGCATAAAACAGTCTTTTTTTTGGGGGAGTCCAAGTGTTCTTCACGGAGACACAGATTCCTGCTTCCTGTTTGCCTCGTGGTTGGAGAGAGGAGAGAGTTCAGCATCCTAACAGCCTGGAGGAT